AAATAGAAGAAAATACAAAACATTAAACATGTTAACAACACAAACGCAGACTACTTTAGACCCGGAAGTAGGATTCGTCACGTCATCACTTAACGACCGGATTTGAAATCATTGGTGTGAAAGGCAGCATTTTATTTCCTTTACTAAACACTGGTTTTGGCATCAGCTGAAGACCTTTGATGGCTGTCCGGCACACCAGGTGTGTGTAGGAGAAGTGCAACGTGGAGTTTAGCACAAAATATGACTCGATGATTCGTCTCGCCCGCTCGCTGGTTTCATAGAAGAGGCGAGCACTTCTCATTGGCACTCTGCCCTCAAAGCCGTGCTGGAAGGAGAGAGGGAAATTGTAAACGCCATCAGAGTGGAGGTAACCTAACAGTCCTGTTTACAGTTTATGAAGCTTGTCCTAACATTCATAACCAGACTGGAAATTAGAGACTTGTTTGTTTAGTGACCAGTGTTTACCTGCAGGGTTTTAAGCACACTGGCTCCTTCGAACTTCTCATTGGGAGTGTGAGGGGACATCCTGCCTTTGTAACCGTCTCCTGCCATCGTGACAGTCTTTAGGACAAGAATAAAAAAACCACTTTAAATACAGTTTCACACACTGAGACAGAAACAAATGCACGATCTGTAAAACTGTCCTTACATGTGCCAGCTGTCTGAGCTCTGCACACTCTTCCTCAGATAAAACATGATCCAGCAGCACCCGCTGGGTCCCGTTCAAAGCCGCCGAGTTCTGCACCAGCTGCACGCCCTCGTACAACAAGGGGCCCCCTGCCCAGATCACAGCATGGGAAGAATGCAGACTGTTATCTCAGCCAGTGGTGGTCTTCATCCTTTTAGCTCCTCATTCTGCTCCGTCTGTGTTAGCACCAAACTTTACCTTCCTTGAGACTCTGCGGAGACGTGACGGTGACATTTTTCTTATGCGAGATGGGAACATACTCCATCCAGCCATCAGTGCCTGAGGGAACGCTGAATGTGGAGAGAACCTGGTGTGAAGATACCCACTCAGGAGCAGCAGTACGAACATTTTCTGAATTTAAAGCTCACAACACAAATACTGGAACTGTGTTTAGCTTCGTAGACATCTCCACCTGCCTGGAGCTGGAACAAACCAGCGTGCCCTTTGAAGGTTTGACACACAGATTTAAAAACGTACGTCTATAAAGTTGAGCGAGCGTGGTGAGAGCGAACCAGCACATGCCTTTAATCT